GCGGCTGCACGAGGGCGTGAAGTCAACGAGGCCCTCAAGCAAACTGCTGACACAAGCAGCTCCCCGGCTTCGGTGACCTCTTCCTCCTCGTGTCAGCGACCAAAGGGAGATAACTGACACGGCCCTCACCACTCCTGCTCCCTCACACGGGTGAGCAGATGGCAAAGGGACGGAGCCGGCCTCTTCTCCAACCCTTTCGACACGGGAGCCTCCCCAGTCCATCCCCCTCCTCGCCTCGACACGGGAGCCTCCCCAGTCCATCCCCCTCCTCGCCTCGACACGGGAGCCTCCCCAGTCCATCCCCCTCCTCGCCTCGACACGGGAGCCTCCCCAGTCCATCCCCCTCCTCGCCTCGACACGGGAGCCTCCCCAGTCCATCCCCCTCCTCGCCTCGACACGGGAGCCTCCCCAGTCCATCCCCCTCCTCGCCTCGACACGGGAGCCTCCCCAGTCCATCCCCCTCCTCGCCTAGACACGGGAGCCTCCACCCACACCAAAGCGGAGTGGGTGCTGATCCCTTTCTGCCAAGTCACATGAAGCTGAACTATGGGATCCTCCAGCCCTCTGCCACCTCAGGCCCTGGCAGCGTCCTCAGAGGGAGGAACGGTTCAAGGCCTCTAGCTGCTACTCAGCACAAGGTGCTTTGTGTTTAAATGGCCGCTGATCTGGGATGCCTCAGGTCCCAGGTGCTCAAGTTACAACCCCTTGAGCCCCATTTTCCGAGGGAGGAACACCCGCCCCTTCTGGGACAAGCTGCAGACTGGTGCGTTTGCCTTTAATCCGGCCTCCAAGACCCGCCAATCAGAGGAGGCTGAGCTCACTGCTGCTGTGGCTTGCTAGGGTCCAGCCAAGCCGGAGCAGGACAGGAGAGGCACGCGGCTGGCTACTGACGGAGCAGGACTTCCACTGCCCGACAGCATCCCAGAGCTAGGGAACAGGGAGGGGCAAGCTAGCTGCAGAACCTCTTGGCTGGTCCCTGATGGCAGGCAAAATCCAGTCAAATCCTTTGGAACAGACCTGGGCAGGAGATTCGGTGCCATTTACCTTCTTCCCTTCGGTGTCCCCACAATAAAACTGTTCCGCCTTCGTCTTGCCCTGAACCACTGGATCCGCAGCCTCCAAGTGAGAGGGGTTTGCCACCAGGGAGAGGGTGATGTTCCTCTCGGTGACGCGGTTGATCCTCCGGTGGTACATCCCCAGGTGGTACTTCACGTCTCCCGAGCCCTGGGGAGAGAGCCGGGCAGGGAGAGAAGTGTGGGTGGCAGAGCTTGGGGAGATTTTGGATGCCGCCTTGAGCACGTGAGGGCCAAGAACGTGGAGCTCTCCGGCCCGAGCTGCAATAACCAGCCCCACCGAGCCCACGGAGCACGTGCACTGGCTGGTAGCACGAGGGACAGCTGCAGAAAGGTGCCCCAAAGATGGAGCACAAAGGTGAAAACCGCTTACGTTTACGGACCCAGTCCCACATCCACTGAAGCAAAGTCAGGGTCCTTGTTGGGATGCCTAGTTACCAGCTGTACTCTGCACCACCACACACCCAGCTACCTAGAGAGGGAGAATCGCAGGGTGCTGGAGTGTGGGGGAGCAGCCAGGAGGAGAGGAGAGGAGGAAGCAGGGTCTGGAAAGGGGAGTAAACTCGCTACGTGGGAGGAAGAGGCTGGGACAGGTGGAGTGAAATTGTGTAAGTGCAAGAGTGGCACAAACACACTCAAGCTCTCCTCCTACCCCCACCAAACACGACGTTACTGTGGCAAGGCGCGTGGCCACAAATCACATGGCCCTTGGGACGAGCTCTCTGGACCACGCTGGGACAGACAGGGGGACTCCCGACCTAGAAGCTCATGATAGGACAGGGGCAAAGCAGCCCAGCTTCTGTCAAGCAGCAATCACGTCCTCTAATCCGTCAGCTCTGACAGCAAGGGAGCGGCTCCAGGAGAGCCAAGATCGAGAATTCATGGGGGCGCCAGACTCCTTTGAAAATGCTTCCAAGTCTCACAAAATGCTCTCAAGGGGCAACTCAGCCAGTCGCAGGGTAAAGCGGCGCTGGCTCAGAAACGGGACACGTGTCCCACCAGATCTGTGCGAGGGGTCACTGGGACCACGAACAGCATCGGTCTGGAGAGTCCGCACACAGAGGAAAGCCGACAGCTCTGCCCTCCCCGACTCGAGGGAGGAGCCAGTCACTGAGTGGCGAGAGCAGGGCCAGGTTGTTCCAGAACTGCCCGCTAAGGGGACTCTTGCGTGTTCCTGCCGCAGCTGGCGCTGGGATACCAGGCTCGACGGGCCCCTCCGGCTACACCTCCTGGGGTGTTCTGGTGGTTTCTGCGGGGCCTCTGGGGACGGGGCTGCCGAGTGTGGCCTGCTGCCGGGGGAGACCCCCGCGTATCGTACCTACGGTCCCGTGGTTGCTGGCCTGGACTCTGCTCCATGCTCACTCACCTCATCTGCAGCCTCCAGCTTGGAGTCGAACTGGCAGAAGATCTGCTCCAGCTCCTTCCTGATCACGTTGGCGAGAACGTTCAGACGCCCCCTGGGAAATCAATGCCACGGGTGGGCAGCTGGCCTGGCATGCTCTGCTGCCGCTCCCCAGAGCCTCCCCACCCCCTCCCTGCGCTCCAAGCAAAGGGCCCGCTCCTCTGCCTGTGTCACCCCCAGACCAGGTTTTACTCCCCCAAGAGACTGCAGCACCCTGCTCTCCTTCCAGGGGACAGCACGACGGGTCACCCGCAGCTTCCCATCCCGTGGGAGTCTGTGCAAGCCTGGTGTACTAGTGCCCCTCCAGGGAACCAGCCCCAGGGACTGCCCCTCAGCTGGCAGCCGCCTCAGCAGAACTGTTCTTTAGACTGGGTCCAGCCACTGGGTGGCGAGGCCGTGCCTTCACACGCGGGTCCAGACTGCCTCGCACCGGGTGCCTGAGCAACGGGGCCCCGTAGCCACAGGGAGCTCCCGCCGCCTTTGCAGGAGAGCCCCGCCCCCAGCGAGGAAGGGTGCGCAGGCGAAGGCCATTATGCTGCAGATCCGCACATGCAGGGCTCACACACGGGGTGTGGCGACCCCAAAGGCTCGGGGCGACCCCAAAGGCTCAGGGCGACCCCAAAGGCACGTAAAACGGGGGGTCCTGCGGCACCAGAGAGACCGAAAGGCTTCGGGGGTCGTGGGTAAAACACCCCTGAAAGCCGACACCCTAAGAAATCTCTCAGCCTCGTCTCCAAGGTGCCACGGGGCTCCTGGCTGAGGCTAGACTAGCCCAGCGGCCCCTCTGGGCCCCGGCACACCAGAGATTTCCTGCAGCCGTGCCCAGGAGGGCACTTTCAATCCCACTGAGCCTCATCTTCGCGGGAGGCAGCTCCCGCTGGGTCACTTACGCCTCAGCCCTGCCAGCTGCCCGGCCAGGGCGGAGAGGAGGAAGCCTCACCTGTGCGGCATCCCCATGATGACATAGTCCACGCCATTGGCGCTGGACTTGTCAATGATGGTCTTCAGGGCCGGGATCAGCACCTCGCAGCCTTCCAAGCCAAAGCGCTTCTCCGACGACCACTTCCGATGGAGGAACTCCTCAAACCTGCAGGGCGGAGTCAGACAGAGCGCGCTGGCGAGGCGGCAGCCTAGCGCGTGGGCCGAGTCGCCGCCGGCAGCCCCCTTGTGCACGCGATCCCCCTCTGCCCCATCGGCGGCCTTGGGCACAAAGCACTAGCCACCACCAGAGCAGTCCCCCTTCCCCGGCCCTTTCCTTCCTAGGTTGGGAGCACACACTCAATCCCACCCGTAGCAAGCCCAAGGAGTCCCAGGAGTCGGCCCTCACAGGCAGCTGGAGCTGTGCAAGCCAGAGGGGCCACGATTGCTAAATGGAGAGTTCCAGTCAAGAGGAGCAGAGGGGCAGCAGGCGGCGGACAGTGGGGAACCTGGGCAGAGGATGCGGAGACTGGGATGAGGCAGAGTCCAAGTGGGGAGGATCCAGGCTGGAGTCAGAGCTGCGGGGTGCGGTAAATGGAGACGGTGGGAGGCGAAGACAGGGACCCCCTGCCTGGGACACTGGGGCTGGTAGAAGATTCAGGACAGTTCTGAGAAGCCTGGAGCGGGAAGGGAGAAAGGTGCCGGCGGGGGCATTTCTGCAGGGCGCTGAAGGCCGGAAGCAGGGGGAGGGGATAAACAGCAGCGGGTGGCAAAGCAGCCAGAACAGCCTAGAGCCATGAAGTGAAACGGGAGGTGCGGGGCAGCCAGGCGCCCAGGAAGCCGGTGGCACGGCAAGGGTGCACATCAACCGAGGAGCTGGCCGGGAACACGGTGCCACCGGGCGGCGTGGCGCGAAGAAAGCCGGTGGCACGGCAAGGGTGCACATCCACAGAGGAGCTGGCCGGGAACACGGTGCCCCCGAAGGAGACCACAAAGAGATAAGGGAGGGAGGGGCCCAGCGCTGATGCTGAAGGAGACGAGACGGTGGCCCGAGAAAAGGAGCCAGGTCACAGGAGGCTGGGGAGAGCTGTGCTCTGACGAGGCCGAGGGGTGGCAGGGGATGAATCCAGGGCGAGGTCCTAAGGAGGCAATGGAGCGGGGACAGGAGGCAGCTCAGAGGAGGTGGCTAGAGGCCAGACAGTACAAAGCCTGCACTTGTGGGGACACTGAGGCACAGTCCCAAGGCTCGCAGGACAGGCAGCACCTCTCCAGAGGGCAGGGGGTCTACGGGAGCTTTGTTTCTGCAGAGGCCTTAGGCTGGGTGTTGGGCGCATGCACAAGTCCGTGCTGGGAGCGCGAGCGCACCACTCCGCTAGCACCTAAGATGCAATGTTTCAGGAGAAGGAAGGAGGGAGTCTGAAGAGCCCCACCAGGCTGGGTTATGCCCCTCCAAGTCCAAGCACAGGCCGGACGCAGGACGCAGGACAGCAATCTGTGTGCAAAGAGACAGGTCGCACATGCAGACAGCGGCTGAGGGCGCTGAAATCCCTGCCATCGCTGGGCTGCTGGGGTTTCAGAGGGAACGCAAGTGGAGCCATCGACAGCCCCCCCAAGGGCGTACGGCGATTAGGCCTCGAGCCTGGGGCTCAGGAACCCTGAATTCAAGTCCCTACTGTGACATCGCGCCCCAGAGCGACACCCCGGCACATGCCTTGTGGGCCTCCACGCCTTAGCCTGGGCCTGCTCAGCAGCAGTGTCCTGCAGGGTGCATGCGCTAGCCCTGTACGGGTGGCCAGGGGCTCAGAGACCCTGGAAACGCCCACAACTGGCTTTTCAGGTACAACAGCGAAGCAGCAACTGTGCTCATGGCCCATCAGCGACGGCAGGACCCTGGGAAGGCGTCAGCTAAGACCCAGCAAGGCACGAGAGGGCACATGACACTGAGCTCCTGTGTTCTGGGGCTGGAACAAGGGGCTCGAGTCACTCGCTTCACTCCCCCACAGCCCAGCACGGGAAGGAACCTCTGGAAGACAAAGGGCGTGGAAGGGAGGAGGGGAGCCGAGCCGCGAGGCCACTTGCGTCAGGCGACGAAGCCTGCCAGGACCATCAGGCAGGGCGAGCGGCTGCTATCAGCTGTTGCAGTTCATGCCCTAGCGATTGGGCCTAGCCTGCGTGTTGGTTTATTTACTAAGCTGACCCGGTGCCGTCACTTAAAAGCTCCTGGTCTGTACTTAAGCCACTTGTCTTGGGTCTTCTCTTCACTTACCCAGTGTGTTTGAGCGAGGTGGTTGGAAACAGCTCTGCTCAGTTAGCCAGGGCCAGTGTGCTTGGGCCTCTGCCCAAGGGAGGGGCAAAGGGAGTAAGAGAGTCACGCTGGTTGGGTTTGGACCAGGCCAGGACTGTACAGCTCTGGGGTCCCGGGCCGAGGGGATTCTGGCCACAGCCTATCGGTGGCTCATGCAGTGGCTGGCCAGAGGCTCCATACAACTGCCGCTGGGCATGCCCCTGCTGGCATGAAAGCTGGTGGGAATACAGGACAGGACCATGCCTGCAGTTTGTTACAGCAGTGCAGTGAGAGGGAGCCCAGGCTGAGGAGTCGGGGCTCGGTGGCACCCCAGTTCCAGACTGCACCGGGGGAGGGGGATGGCCACACTTGCTCTGCTAGACACCCTGGGCCAGTCCTGTAGCCTGCCTGGCCTCGCCTGCCCCACATGTGTAACAGGGTGTTGGGAAATAAACCCATGAACGAGGGAGAGGCCAACACACGGTGCTCTGTGGTACGGCCCAGGACCCCAGTGGCACAGAGCTCTGGGGCGTCACTGACCCACCCGGTGCATTACCGACGGCCCCAGAGGGACACCGAGGGAGGCCGAATACCTGGTGGAGCGCACCAGGCGCGCCAGCAGGGTGCGCTTCTCGTCAGTGGTGAACTGCATGACTCCCGGAGTCTCAAACTTCTGCCGGATCCACTGACATTGCTCCAGGTCGTTGATGAACATGAACTCCACGCCGATGTGCTGGCAGTACGCCATCTGTCGGCACAGGGAGGGGGAGATGAAGCCACTTCCGCCAGCTGAGGGCAAACACAACACGCGCCGTCCCGGCCTGTGGCACAGGCTTGTTCACCTTCAGAGGAGCACTGGAATGGCTCCCGAATTCCCTGACACCGGGAGGCCGCCTCTTCTCCAGAGCTAGCCCCCAGCATCGCGCAGAGGTGGGATCCCAAAGGGTCGCCCGGGAGCTGCAGAGTCCGCGCTCCCAGGACAGAGGAATGCTGCAGGCAGAGCCCCAGGGGTTGGTGGGGGATGCCATCAGCAGCACAGTGCATGCTAGGGAGCCAGCTGCCCAACAGCCAGCATGGGGCTTAAGAGCTCAGTGGCGACAGGGTAGCTTCCTTGGGAATCCGGACTAGCAGGCAGGACCTGTGGGTTCCGTCCCCACCGCCACCACCCACCCACCCGCTTCCAACCAATCGCTGCCCCTTGCCCGCTTGCTCGTCAGGGAGGTGGCGACAGGAAAGGCCGTGTGTCGCGCCGGGAGACACGCAGGCCACGCACCCGGGCTGCAAGGACACGCCACTCTGCCGTCCCCGCACTGGGCGCCGTCGGGCCTTCTTGCAGCGTTGCCAAGCTCCAAGGGGACCCTGCAGCGGTGGCGGAGCTGGTGGCAGGAAGGGCCCGCGGCTTGGCAGGTGCTGGCCTGCCTAACCGCCCTGAGGGCTTCAGACTAGAAGCTGCTTCCTGAGAAACGCGCCATACTGGAGACAGCCCAGCCCTGGGGAGAGCCGTTACCACACACAGCCCCTCCTTTCGCCGCCTAGGTAACCTAGCAGATGCACTGTGCTATCAGCTGAGGGCTGCATCAGGGTGCTGTTGTGGCCAAGGAGGCCTGCAAGGGGGTGAGCACCAGGGTTCTCAGCTGTGCGGCCACACAGCTGCCTAATAAGCCCCATGCAGGGGCTCAGGACCGCCACATACTGAGCTGCCATGGCTGCCTCTCCCCCGGCCATGGCAGCTCCTTGCTGGGGCCAGAGAGCAGGTCGGCTCCTCCAGGCCCAGGAGGAAGCTGCCTCCGCTGGGGGAGGAGGCCTGATTCTCCAGCTGCAGCAGTAGGGCTGAACTAAGAAAGGGGCTGTCAGGGCTGCAGTCTGGGACCCCGGGTTTAGGGGGCCCCTTAGCGCAGGGCTGCAGCCCATTAAGCCGCTGTGCTCCGGTCCAGCCCTTCCTGGAGTGTGCGTGGGCGGCAGCACTGCGAGCGCAGGGAAGCTCTGTCCCAGCACTGCTCTTGCCCATTGTCTGGGAATGGGGGAGGGTGGGGCAGCGCGGGGC